CCCCCATTCACCAAGCAGTTCTTGCCCTTTCACGGCCCTAATAGCTGTAGTCAGTCATGCACCTGTACTTCTGGGAAATGGTTTCTTTTAAATCACTTAAACAGAGACATTTACGTAGGTGCAGCCAATATTTTCCTTTGAAGCCATAACCAACCATAGTGGTGCAGCTAATCCCCTTAATTCTTTATATGCAACGCCCGTGCGATGTGCACTGCCAAGTAACGCTTCCTTCTGCTTTTTGAGGCCGAGAGGATGAGGACAAAGAAGTGGTGAGCAAATGCGTGAATGAAAACAGAAGCAGTGTACCTGTTGGTGACCTCCTGGGCTTCCAAATTAAAGATGCTTGTGTGTCTCTCAAAATGGCATTTTATGCAAGTGTAAAACTCAGAGGTTTAAAACAGAAGTAGCAAAACGTTGTAATAGGGTGAACATTTCTGTAATTTTATGTATCTGCTGTTTTCTTAGGATGGGGTGTCCCATATATGCCACTAAATCTAACCCGAAGACTATTCTTCCTGATTTAAACCATGTCACACGACCTTGGAACCCCATGTCTGTGTCAATTGCACAGTCTGATTGCCTGCTAAATTCCAACAATACATTCGTTTCCGATGGTGTTCTGTAAATCTTGCAAGTTTAGAAATGAACACTGTTTTGAGATGTGCAACAAAACATGCGAAGAGGTAAACCCAATTTCCCAGCTACTTGCTCAACAAAAGTGCTGCTGTGCCACAGAGGGATGAGCAAAATCAGAACTGGACCTCAAATATGGGACTTTCTTTAGAATACAGCAGGAAATGCTGGACATTTTGAGCAGTGTCATGACTTCTGGAGACTGTGGCTGCCATCCATTAATACGTCAGGAACAGAAATACCCTTTTGGTTACAACAGAGGCCTAATTTGGCTTAAGCTGGAGATGTGTGTCAGTCTCTACCCTTTTCTTTGAGATGTGGTAATGTGTGCCCAACTCTGTTGTGCTTTCCCTAGCATAGAAAACTCACAACAAAGGAACTGTTCATTCATGCTTTTAATTTTGTGTTGCATAGGATACCTACCTAGGAGTTTAATGCACTTTGAAATTTAGGGAATTACAAGTGTCACAGACTAGAAATAGAAGCACAGAATTGAAAGGAAAGAATTTAAATAATTTATTTTTGAACTTGCATGGATTCAAGATAGCGATGCTTGCAAATGTATTAATTAAAAATATGCAAACCTCCTTGTCTGTCATTTCACAGCATAATCAGTGTCACACACAGATCAGCAGGGACTAGAGCCAGGCCATGTGTCCACTCAGCTGCCGGATGCTCTCTGTTGTAAGATTTTGCTGTTAATTTTTGATGTAAATTCTCTGATTTGAAAAGATCCTGACCACCTTAAAACAGCTTTATTGGTCTGAAAAGTCTTCCCGATGTCCCACCAGGTGGCACTCGCCTATAAAGAATTGTTCTGGGAGGGTGTTTCACGGTTCATCTCCCAGATTTCAGCTGTGCTCTATGTAAGTTTTGCATTTTAGCAGTGATCCTAACTTTTCTTGGCCTTTATATACTATCCAAGTAAGCGCTTTAGTAAAAAACTCAGCTACCTTGTTTTCCACTCATTGCTAGCTGTGCTGCTGTGCACTGCTTGAACACAAATCACGTTGAGAAGACACATTTACAAAAGGTTTGCTGCCCAACACACATACAGTACCACATGCATCATCTTTCTAGAGCTTGAGTTGTTTTCTGTGAATAACCCCAGTGATTTTAGCTGGATTATTTCAGATATTAAAGCCTGCGTACATGTATTTGCAATCCATATCATATCTAATCCGTGTCAACTCTGATCACAGTTTGTGTGAATCCAGACTTAGAAAGATAAACATTCTGAACTTTTGCAGAATTTCAATTAGTTGGATGAAAACCTAGGAAAGACATAAAACTTGGATTTTTTTTTTAATGAAGTTCTGGCGCTCAGAGAAAAAAACCCAAAATCCAGTCAAGAAATACAAGAAATTGTAACGCCAAGTTAACCACCAGATAGCGCTCACACATCATCGTATCTTGGTCAGATCATTGTATTTTCGTCTGCAGTGCAAGAATAGTTTTTATGGCTCAGACTCAAGTATTATTAGTCTCTGAGCAGCATTAACAATGGTGAAGCTTTAATTCCTTTGCCACTGTTTGCATAAACGGTTGCTTCCAAATTAAAGAAAGCAACAAAACAAACCGCCCCACCGTTTTTCAGCCTGTTTGTTTAAATGCTGCAGAATGACTGCTTCTTTCAAAAGCTGTTTATAGTTTAGAATTGAAACAGCAGATGGCACATTAGGCCCACTGAATAGGGGATTAAAGACCTGATGCTGTTAAAAAAGTCCTCAGAAGAACACTTCCAAGATTATTTATGGAAGTTGTTCCGCTATGGTGTCTTTTGTGTTATATTTATTTTTCCATTTATTATTGATTTTGAGGTCATTAGCTATTGGGATTTGGTACTAGGATAACAGGGTTAAGAGAGAAAGCCTCTGATTTTGTCTAAGTGTTTTGATAATCAGCAGAATTTGGAAAAAAGCAAAACAATGTCCATCATCACTTTAATGAGAAGTATACTTTTTTTTTTAGAAGAATCATGTGATTTAATGTGTTGATGTGTTTCCCCATAATTTCTGTTTTTACATTACTAAAGTTGAAAAAAAAAGGAAAAAAAAGATGTAGAAATTTGGGCACCTTCCAAATTTTATTGCTAAGTAACCTATGTAGGCCTGTATGCACTCAAAATGAACTGCTACCGGTTATTTCTGCTTTCCATTATTAAACTTTATTAAACTTTTATCAAAATTGGACTCAGTGGGAACTTGGTCTGACACTTCTGGCTGCGTGAGTCAAACATTTTGCTATTCAGAAAATATAATGCACCAGACTTTGCGGTTCAGAATACAGGTTAGTTCAATTTATAAAAGTAAGGGCCAGCCAAGAAACTTCATTTACTTTTAACTGAAAACCACTTGTAGAAGTAAGAATGCATTTATTGTGTGCCAGTCCTTATTTAGGTCACAA